ACGGACACAGCACCAGATGACATGCACCAACATGACAACATGGCTGCCATTGACATGGGAGCCAACGTCACCAACAGAAATTCATTTTCCTCTGCCAAAAATTCAGCAGACATGGAGAGTGGGTTCCACTCAGAGGTATAAATAAGATATGTGGAGAGGAGACATTAATGTGTGGGTAATTACGTTGCTGTGTGTCAATGACATTTTTTGTGTCTGTAAAAGCTATTGTGTGGGTATGACATTGCTGTGTAACGTACAACAAACAAAATTTCAGGAATGTAGAAATAATAATTGGTTTGTTCAGGAGCAAGTGTGTGTAGTTTATGGAACCAGCCATAAAGAGTATCTACAAAATTCCAGCAGTATTCAGCCACTTCACCTCCAAGTCCACCTTTTCCACTATTGCTTGACAAAACCTCCTGTCCATTTGTAAACATTCACTGCACAGAATCTTGATTCCAATTGTAAACTTAAATTTTATCATCAACTACTTGAAACTTAGTTTAGCATCCCATACAAACAGATACACACTGATAAATCCTTTTAATTATGTGAAACACACAAAACTTCACTTCAAACTGTTTTAACTTAAGCACGCTTCAGTAAGTAACATCAAAGCTCAATTTGTATGTGAGGGAGAGTTGCTTTTGGGTAGTGTGAATCAGGATGTCCACTTACGATATGAATTATTCTCATCCTCTGTGTCTTTTCTTTGTTGTTGTTTTTTTTTTAAACATTCCTTCTCACCCTTTGGACAACTGCTATGTTCAGTCCCACGGTATATCATAATCAGATTTTATTTCGAGCTGCTGTTAAATGGTCTCATGCTCAACACTTTCATAATTCACAGATGGCGCTGTGACAGCTCCAGATGTTTTAAGTGTAACATGACCCATGACCTGCCCAATGAAAGATATTGCCATTTAAAAGTCTTGTATATAGTTTTAACAATTTGAGTCAAGGGTTATTAAAATCAAGAAAATTTTCAGGGTTAATTCTACATCTTGGAATTTAACTTTTTCTTAAAGAAGGCAGGATAAAGCCTCTAATTTGTTTGCTCGCAGATTCGGGTCAATGCATTTCTATGGTCCCGCTTTGCGAGCCTATTTGTAATACAGTGGAACCTTCGTAATCATTATCAAATAGATAATTTCCACAATAACATATTCTTTCCGTCTTTTAAAATTTATCAGTGCTTTGTTTGAGACAGGGGTCACAACTTTGCTAGATGCAAATACACATAGCTTTATATTTTTGAAGGCCAAATTCCTAACATGATGCTTGCCCTTAAATATTGTTCTCTGAGATATTTATTCGGTCTAGGTTTATCGATTGGGAATATTTTATTTTATATTTTTTGAAGGGAGGGGTTATTTTGCCTGATTTACTTCAAATAGTGGATTCGATATTGAGAACATGGCGGATTCGATATTAAGAAAATTGACAGACTTTTCTATCTTTTACTCCACAGGAATAGTGAGTCTTGATCCCCATATTCTTATTGCACACGTATAGTGTATGTCCTCCCCTCTTTTAATATACACATATAGTGTCTCTGATCACCTCTTCCCCACCCCCCAACTCTCTTGAAATAATTATTCAAAGTATTCAAGAGATTCAAATTTTTATGAGCACTTGACAAAGTAATGTAACCTAACCATGAACTGTTGACTTTTCTTTATAAAAGATTTAATATGTAATATGTTTAACTTTTGATAATTTTAAATGAATTCCTAAATTATAAAGATAAAAATCTTGATATCATGGTTGAGATATAAAATAATCAAAAAGTTTAATGGCGTGCTTAATTATTAAATTTGGGTTGACATTTTTTTTGTGCCCTTTTTTTTTTCTTCAATTTTTTTTTAAATCTATCATTGACCGGATTGAACAAACATCTTGAAGCTATCATAAAATATTTTGAGCCTGGAAAACTGATCTGATTTTGTATTAAGTTGTTTTTCTAATTCTCTTTAATTAACATTGAACATGTCCAAGTGGTTGGCTGTACTTTTGTGATAAACTCAGTGAATGTTTTGCGTATTTATTTCATTCAAGTGTGTCAGACTGAGTCTGCTAATGGCAGGAATAACTTCACCAGAATTATGTTGTTTCTTGTCAAACTGCTGCCTTGATTGTTGAGTTCCGACACAGGTATTTTATCCCTTTCATTAGCCATCCTGTTTCCATACAGGTTATTATATACATGAATCAATAACCATGGCAGATTTTTATACGATATTTTGGTTTATAGAAACCATTTGTATTTGGTGCATGAATCACCTCTAATTCAGATAAGAGGAAAAATATCTTTTAGCATCGGTACTAATCATGCTATCAAAAGAGAGATAGACCCCACACACCATGCACTGTATTTATTGATGAAGTTGAAGGCATAAAATTAAGGTTTCGAAATTACTAAACTTTTTAAAACAACGTATAGTTCATTCCTTAATTTTGTCCTGCATTTGTTTTCTCTGTTAGTTGTTCATGTGAAATAAGTTAACACCGGAAGGGAGATATTAGATCTAGGCCTAAGCCTATACTATACCACAAAATAAAAGCAGTCATTTTTTTTTTAACACAAAAACATTTATGTTAAATGCTTGCCTAAAAATAAATTCTTCCTTGGCATAAAAATTAAAATATTATGCTCTATCTTAATCTTATTGTTTTTGTGTGGGTTTTTTGCGGGTTGCCTGGATGAAGCCCTTAGTTTTTTCTTTTTTTTTTTTTTTGTGAAATACATTTTGAGATTTGGAGTTGCGATATAAGTTTTAAAATGTATTCTTGCCTTTAATAATTCTGGTTTTGAGCATAATTTGCCGTTATTCATAAAACAAAAATTTAAGTCCAAATTATTCTGCAGACCAGCATGCATTGCACAACACTAAATCAATAATTAGCTTCCATCTAACCATACCTGGTAGTATTTGTTTCTCTGAAATTATGTTGCAACCGATACATAAGATGCAACTACAAAAATCTACTCTGGCGCATAAAAACAAGTATATGGTAACCCTTAAGAAAATATTAACCAGTAATGTTGATGGTAGAGCATCTCCTTGTGTTTGGTGCCCTGGATTTTAGATGAATGGGTCAGGGCGGATTTAAGGCAAGGCGCCCATTGCTATATATATCAACTCTAGCTGTGGGGGAAAAATAAAGTCAGTGATGTATGCAATCCTCTTTAGTTTTGATCCTGAGTCTCTCGCACATTCCCCACCTTGCCAGATAATCCAGCCTTGAAGAACCTCACAAAATTTTCTTTGGAACATAAATAATTTGCATTCATATTTTTTTCACTCACATATTTGCAAATCCATGAAAAATCCTGCAGCGTTTGTGTTTAATTTTTTAAGCAATTTATAAGTTTTCATGCTTTTAAGTATAAAATGTACGAAACATGATGATGGGCTAATCTCCAGAAATAGCCATTTTTAGCATTTTTAATTTTTAGTGACTCCTTACAATATATTCGTGATACCTCCAGATCTGCAACTGGTTCTGGAACCTAACTTTGCTTTGTTCTAGGTATAACTGTACAAATAGTATTTTAAACGTTTCCACTGCTAAATAAAATTATTCAGCTTTGTTAAAAATCCTTCCAGCAGATTAAGAAATATTTATTGAAAATTAAAGAAAAATGAATTATTGTCCATGTTTAATAATGCATTACTTTGTTGGCATATTCTTCATGGAATTTTTTTTCTTTTTTTTATACTTTTGCTTTTTATAAGAAAATTTTACAGCACGAATAAACAGATAAAATTTTTTGTTTATTTTATTTCGGTTTCACTTTTACTTATAGTAAGTTGGCTACTTTATAAGAGTTCGGCAGATATTTTTTGTTGCCAATGTGGCCTTTGACGTAAATTCAAAATATATCTTTTAGTTAGTTTTAAGGATGCACCAAAAAGTAGTCTTAACTAAATGAATTTTCCTTTACAAAACATGGTTTTTCAGTTTTAAGCTTTGATAAAAATAATTAAGATGGAAAGTATATGACTATTTTATATACACAAGGCCGCACTTGTCAATTAAACGCAATCTGTTAAGTGGAAAGTCATTGCAGCATTAGTTTTCCATTTCAAAAACTTAAGCAGTGTTTTGGCACATAATAGTAAATCAAGGATCCAACAAATATTGATAGATAAAAGAATAAGATTAAAGGAGGACCAAGTTGCTTGGTGAATTTCAGCACTGTACCGTTCAAGAGATACAAAGAGATCCCTTTAACTAAACCAAAGTCTCAACAAAACTATACTAAATATAAATATACATGGCCCCCCTTGAATGTAGTAGTTAAAAATGTGTTATACTGACATCTATTTTATGATCTATATAGAAGAACAAAACCTGATAGATACATAATTGTGAATGTATTTATTGACATGTGACATTGCAGTTTGACAGCTCAGCCAATTGAAAATTTAACGTAATGTTGGCTTACAAATGTATTTAAGCATCTGGATCTGTCTGTACATAACCCAATCAAAATTGTTGAACACTACCAAGTTCGTAACTAAAAAATAACATTTGGCTGCATGCACCTAATTTTATTTTCCCATGACGCATTTTAATATACTAAATGTTTCAAATTGGTTTCATCACTACCATATTAGTTTGTATTCCATATCAAAATTTATTGCTCAATAAAACGCTATAATGTTTTTAAGTTTACACATCACAAAAATTTTGTTTTAGTTTCTTAGTCTTTTAAATTCTGTGGGTTGAAACATTTTTGTTGATTGTTTTTCAAATAAAAGTAAGCAAGTTAAGTACAAAATCTGTGTAAAGCATTGTTAAGTAGTATTTATATCTTAAACTTAATGCTTTTTATTTTTTTAATACAAAACTGATGAAGATGAAAATCAGATAGGAAAAATATTGCTAAAAATTTTAAATAGCTGCACTTCAAAAGAAAATGTTTGTTTTTAAATGTATAAAAGCCATCTTTAATGATGTATAAAAATATTAAACTAAGTATTACAAATCTAGCAAAATGAGTGGCTCTGGGATTAGAATTAAGAGATTAGAAAACAAAAGGTTGGTGTTTTCACGCACCTCATCCCAAACAACAACAAGGCATTGACTTCTGTAGTGTACAAACTGTGAAACAACTGGTTGCTTCAAGACTCTACCGCCCATGTGGTTTAAGTAAAAATCAGTTTTAGAAACATATTGAAGAGATTGGCAACATAAAATTTTAAGGGGGGTTAAGTTTAAGAAAAGAACAACTTTAACATCATCTTTCAGGATTTTAAAACTAAAAAAATTACTGAAATTAACCAATAGACTTTCAATAGCAAACCAACATCATTAAATGATTTAGGTTTTGCTGTACAGTATTACAAATACCCGGCCTGCTTCTTTGTTATTGTAACACCTCTATAATGTCCCCACATTTAAAAGTTGTACCTATAAAAGTGGATACAAACAATACAAGTGTTTAGTGTCTTACAATGTCATTGGTCACCCGCTCAGAAATTAAAATAAAGCAGTTATTTAATACCAAAAAATATTTTGTTTCAGGCCTTGTGACCATCCCAATATTAGCAACCAAAATTTAATGACGACATATTTTTCATTTAATGCATTTTAAATTTGATCAGATCATTAGTATTGGGTGTAAATGTTAACATAGACAGATTAAAGCACACCATAGTGGTGCAAGTGACAGTAAATGGACAGATATTGCTTAACCTCATGGAACACTTGCAGATAATTTTTGTAAAGAGCTGAATTGTTTGGTGCTTTATTTTTAAAGCTTTAACTTTAAGACAAAGTTCAGAGGTGGTAGGCAAGCATCCGGTCACCAGTCTGCCAAAGTCAATCTTATGAAAATCCAATATGATCAATCAATAAATCGTGCATCTGATCCTGTTGATAAATTACTGCTTGAGGATTATCACAATGAAAAGTTTGAGAAGCACTGAATTAGTACGTTTAACCTAGGAATATTAGTTGGGAAGACAATATAGCCACATTGACATGAGCAATAGATTTTATAACACAAAGACTTGGACAAATAAAGGAAATAGTGATCTCTTAGTGAGTTTTTAAAAATTATTTATTTTGCACAGATTAACTATATTATATAGTCAAAAATGAATTATTGAGATATTTCAACGAAAATCATTGACGGTTGCACTCTACCGCCAAGGAGTGAATTATGGTACCAAGTTCAACCACAAGTAACACAAATACTTATTAAATACATAGATCCCAAAAAAAGACATACAAATTTAAGCACTAAAAAAAAGATTTAATGGACATCTTATACAGTACTAACATGAGAGCATTAACATTAAAGCATACATGTAATGGTTCAATTATTTGAAATGCTTTGTTGTTAAATGTTACAATGCATTTTTTAAAAAAATGGATTTCAATAAATATGAAATGAAGTTTGGAGCAAACCAAAACAAGACACATATAAAAGCACTGACTCCATCACCTAATGACCCTCACCTTTCCCCAATATACAGAATATACACTTTTTATTTAAAAATACAAGGAGTTATATGAAAGCATGCATGTATTTTGTCCCACCTTGTTTGTGTGTTAGGTGGGTTTTGATTTTTACAATGTTTTCCACCCTATTTTACAAAGTAAATATTCTAAAAATCTTTACAATGCCCAATTTTTGTTGTTAATAATGAAGAAAAAAAACAGTGATATTGACAAATCTTATCTCCTTTATAGGAAAAGTTTTGATAAGTTACAAATATGGGTTACTGTTGAGAAATGTAAAAGTTGTAGATGGATCTTTTAGAATTGCACCAAGTTTTCACATCACGAACTAAGCCTTTTCTTCAAGAAATAAATAAGTTAACAAAATCCACTCAGTGGATCTAATTGCAGGTTGTCCATAGTTAGATTTCTGAATGAATCGAAGCAACCATGTTAAACACTGTAATGAGCCCAGAATGATAGTAAAGAATGCTTCCAGAGGTGGCCTTGATTCAATATACCTTTTTAACATTTCTTTTTTTTTTTTTGTAACAACTCTATAATAATTGGAGTCATGATGTGATTCATGAATGAAAATAAAATGCAATTTTTAAACTTATATTATTTTTTTAAGTGTGCGCATCAAAGTTTAATGCACCGAATACTTTTTTTTTAAAATTAAAAAAATTTATGATTATAAAAATGGTTCACCTCACTAGACTAATACTAATGAAAAAATTCTCAATGCTTCACTGCATAAACAATTTGAGCTAAGCAGCTCACTTTTAAGTGTCCTACAAAACGTTATGGATACATTTATTTTGCTTTAAATTATTTACTTTTTTTTTTTAATCTTTAGTGCATTTATTTCCACAAAGTGGCTTCAGTGGAAACTAATACTTTCTAACAGAAGAAAATTTTAAATCATCCTAAAAATTTTATCATTCAATGACTTTAACCATCAAAGCTTTGGGTAATTAAGCCTCAGCTAGAGAAAGAGCACTTGCGCGCACACACACAGCCATCAGTATTTATGAATAGTAAAACTTCAGTGTTAGAACTTTTAACTTTCTGGACAAGCAAACAAGTTGACAATCTAATGGTGTTTTTTCAAGTGATGTAAATTCAGCAATTTTAAAATCGAGAGAATACGCGCAAGTCTGCTTGTTTGCAGTGTAAATAAAAACTTGCAAAAGAATTTCTGAATATCTCAAAGGAAAAAAAGGCCAAACTAACAACATATGACAAAAGTTACAAATTACTAGATAGATTAACTATAATTTAGAAGGAAGGATAAAAAAAATGAAGTGCTCTCACAACAAACGCTGTATTTTAAGGAATACTTTTTCTTGTGGTGGAAGATTGAGCAATACTGACATTTCACATGGAAGTGGAAACAGATTTTGAGAGAGGTAGAAGCAGAAGTAGCAATGTTTTTTAACAAATTTTCTAGTTATTGTTCAGATCAAAGTTTTCAGACCAAACAGAAAATTATAGAAATAAGGAGATCAAACAAGATTAGCCACATGACAAATGATTTTAATTTTTGCTAATGAACATATTGATTGGCATGAATTTATGCTTACCTTTAGTGAGAATATGGAAATCTAATTAACTATTGAATTTTTTTTTTAAACGCAAAATTAATAAATGGAACTGTTGACCTTTAAATCTGAAAGGATTAATGCTAAACCGACATGTATGGATGGGACAGGCCATTTCCACGGCATAACCATTTCGAACAATGGATTACCGGGTACCACAAAAATGTTTTTTGAAAAATATCGTTAAAACTAATTTTAAAAATAAAAAATTGTACAAAAATTTTACATTTTTGTTATATATTTAAGATGACAACAAAGAGAATAAAGTAATCATCTCTATATACAGTATTTACATATATAAGAATTTTTTTTAAATAGTTATTACATCTAGGGATGTTCTTTTTCAATGAGTCGGAAGTACAAAATTATGAAATTCAAATATTGTTATTGAATTTTTTTTAAGTACAATAAAACAACAAAAATTATTTCAGTTGTCTTTATATTTTTCATCTCAATGGTGTTAAGCACAACAACAAAAAAAAAATGTATATATTTCTTTTCAAATCCCATCATCTTTTTTAAACACTTTGGTTCTATTATTTAAAGAAGAAAGCTTATTATATAGACTCATGAATTTTGTAAAAGGCATCAATAGATACACAATAGAATCATTACCCCAATTAATTTTTATTTTATTAATGATAATGAGAGGAAAAAATAATAATTAAACTTTCTTAGTTTCTAGGACTACATAATATGAAGTCTCAAATTATTTGTAGAATAAAATAATTCCTTCAAATGAATATTTTGCAATCTAGTCACAAAACTTAAATGCCATGTTTATTAAATGATAATGAATTCATTGAATTGATAAAGTTATTGTGGTTATTTTGAGATAAATGTTTCAAAGCAATGTGCTTTTAATATGAAAATCTTTTCAAAATCCCCCACCAATTTTTTTTTTTTCATTTTAAGAAGGCTAAATTAACATTCTTTAAAGGCAAGACACTTGTTACAAGTTTTAACTTTTTGTTTTTAAATGTCAACGTCCTGCAAGCGTTGGTAACAAGTCATGCATTTAAACAATATTTAAATAATCATTCAAATGTATATTCACTTGGAGAGAGCCTCCACAAATAAACATCAAATGTACACACAATTGGCTTAAATGATTATTATTTTTAAATTGTGACAATTTATATTCTGTGTCATCGTGAAAATTTGATGGTATGAAGTTTGAGAGACAAAGAGCACAGATGGAGGAGATAATAATGCTGATAGAAATTGCAGAAAATGAAAGTGTCCAACATTTTTTAAAGAGAGGTGAGAAGAAAAAAAATGCCTTCTACATTTAATGTAAACTGTTGACCTTTGAATTTTGCTGGAATAAGAACGTAATGTTAAGTGAGATCTAGAAAAGATATTTAATAGTAACTTAATGTCAAACATCTTCATTGGACCATCCTGATGGTGAAGATGGTAAACTTAGGTAAAAAAATCAATAGTAAATGAGTTAGGTAAAAAAAAAAATCATTAGTATATGATTTAGGTAAACAAAAAATCAATAGATTTAAATACATGAGCCTATGAAGTGGATAAACTGGTCAAAGGTACAGCATACAAATTATATAATTTAAGAATGCAGTTATGTACAAGTTCAGGTTGCCACCAGATGATGTACAACAAGTTCAGTTCTATTTGTACCAGTCCAGGCAAAGAATGTATAAACCATTTCAAATAACTTCACATTTCATCCAGCACACTGTGGTTTATAGTCCAGGCATAGAATGTAATTTCATTTCAAATAACTACTATTTCATACAGCACACACTATGGCAGGCTCTGATCCTCCTACTATATGCATATTTATTTGAAATGAAAGCTATTAAATGTTGACCAGCAAAGTTTTGCTTGCATTTCTTATTCATGCCAACAGCTTCATTATTTAAACAGCATCTTATTAGAATGACCAGCAAAAGGTTTGAATGGGGTTGCGCCACTGAAGTCTAATAGATGGACATCCACAAAGTTTAAGTTGCTGATGCACAACTAAGGAATACTACTTGACACCATCCAAAGATTTGAGTTGAGGAGTTTCACAGGTGTCCATAGAGTAGTTTCAACAGTGAAACAATGGCACAAGCACAATACCTGACATAGTATGTCCACTAAACACATCAACTAACAGTATTCAAAACCAACAGAACTCTGTGTGGGTCAGTCTTTTAATAATCCATAAACGAATGCCATTTAGTCACACAAGCACAACTTTCATCAAATGTCCATTGGGGGAAAAAGGAGTTGATAATCCAGTTATTTCTGTATCATGTAAGGATTTGGCGTCTTATTTACTGTACAGAACACAAGACTGTGCTTCAAGTTTCTATACTAGATTAGGTCACAATCTCATTAATTAGTTTCTCTCTGTCATTCATCCAATCTTGGTCTCTTGGGTGAGGTAGCCTCTGTCTCATCCAAAGTGGACACTTCAGGGTCAATTTTCTGTTGCAGGGCACTGAAGCAGGGTGTGGGGTTTTCTTTGACAAAGCTCAGATACTGGGGCATCAGACGCTCAACTATTGACTCAAACAGGGCTCTCACGATTTTACCAGCCTTGCCTACTTCAGAGCCAGCCTGGGGACAAGAAGAATTACAATAAGAAACACTTCATACAATATACCATTATTTATTATAGCTAAGTTTTAGGTCTTTCTGCTACACATAAAAGCCTTCTATACTGCAACTTACCACATTTACCAGGGCAGGATGATATAAACACTAAATTTTTTTTAGGACCCAATGACTAATGGGGGCTATTTACATGCCTGCCATAATTAAATGTAAAAACAATCTGATAATATTCACTTTAATGTCAGTAACTCTACAAAATCACACTTGTGCAGAATGGTTGGCAAGCTTAACTAGCAAACATTGCAGCCTAGACCTAGTTGAACCACATCCTAGGCTTGCTCAACAAGTTTTGCATTTTTAGTCAAGATTTTTTTTACTCAGCATATATTGCCAAATATGATGAGACCATGATGCTAATCATTCATTCCAATGAAACAAGAAAATTAACTGAATACTGCCTTAAAGCAAAGTAATTGTGAAGTTTTTAATTTTAAATAAATTTTAAAAATTTAATACCTAGTATTAATGTAACTATAGCATATAGTTGAGCATATTCAAATCCCATTAAAAAAATTGAAAGTATAAAAGTGTTCAAAAAGCTTTAGATTTTCAAATTAAACATTTTGTTCAATTACCTTGTTGTAAATAGCACAGTTGACAAAGACTTGGCGTACATCAAAAAGAAAACCTTTAATACTGTGGTAATGGTTGTGGTTCCTACGCTGCAGTTTAAACCGAATCTGGGTGAAATCCATTGGCTGTGAGATGATCTTGTAGTAATTTGGTACTTGCTGTTGAGTTGGGAAAATATGGTAAAATACTAAAATACAAGCAAATAAAATATATTTAATATATGCGAGAATTAGGAAATAATAAAAACTGTTTTTTAAAAACAGCTTTAATTTTCACTTCTGTTCAGTTGTTATATATATTTAGTTTTAGAATGATCAATTAAAATGTCTAGCTCACCACTCTGTTCACTGGCTCCTGGAAGGGTACACTAGATGGGTGACAGAAGAGCTCTAAAAGAACTCGCTCGCATACCTGTAGAAAAGTTGACACAATTATACCAACTGAAATTTTATATTGGGGCATGCTTTTTTTATTTCCTCTGGGAGCTGCTGCCACTTATCTTTTTATTAAAATAAATTTTTAAAATATTTTTAGAATAATTAAACAACCCCCTAAAAACAAAGTTTTTCATATAAATCTTTTATATGCATTTTTGTGGGACTTAGCAATGGCTACAGTTCTTATGAAATCATATATCCTTTATCTTCCCCGTTAAAACAACAGGAAAAAAAAACATTTATGGGGGATGGGCTGAAAATATGGGAGAATGTATTGTCAAGTGCCTAGAGTCAGGTTGATAGGATTACATAAGTGGGTGACTTAGCCTTCCGAAGATTTTGCCACCCCAAACACAGAAAGAAACCCACAAACAAAAATTTCATTCTTTTTTTAAAATGGACAATGAAGAAAAAAAAAAAGGCAAACTTTTAAACTATTACAGCCAGCAGACAGACTGAATAAAAATGAATACAATAAAAATGAATAAAACGACTTGGAGATTATTTCTTAACATTGATAATATAATCTCATCTGATGATAAGTTCTTAAAGACTTCATAAATAAATGGAGATTTTAAATTACCTTGATTTCCTGATCTGTTAGTCCACCTGGAGCTTTACGTTTTCCACCATTTGTTTCATCGACTGTGACTGGGTTGTCTCCCTCACATATTGTACACACAAATGACCCACTGCAAAATGCAGCAACAAAAAAAAAATCTTTCATTATGCCTAGAATATAAGAGTAAATATCAAACTTTTCAAGATTGGTACAATTTATGCATATTATAGTTCTCAAAATCAGCCTTATGTCTCTGTATTTTTGGTGCTGAAGGCTTCTAGCTGAAATGTCTACTGTTTTGTATTGTCCTTCAGGTTTTTCTCTACCCTGTGTATATTCTCTATGCAATATTATAGCTTTCATAATCAGCCTCATGACAAATTAAATTGTTTTAAAAAATGAGTTTCCTCAGGAACACATACCTTGGGACAGCAGAAAGTTCTGGAATATGACACTGAAGATGGAAAACTCTGGGGCAGCGGTCGCAGCATAGAACATCTCCGCCATTGTGACAGCAGGCGCAGTAGTCGTCATTAGGGTCACCCTGAGAGTCTGCCTGTGATAGGGAGAATCCTGGCATACTGTTACCCCCTTGCCAATTTTCACGTAATTCCTGGTCTGTTGGGGAATGAGGCCCTGCAAGAGGGACCAGGCATACATTGTTATCAAGTAAGGACAGTTTTAAAGCAGCACTCACAAGAAAAAACACCAAAGGTGTAAATTTAGGCCAACAAAACAAAAAATGAATTCTTTCCAATGAAAACCGAGGTTTGGATACAATTGAAAAAAAAATAATGCTTAAGTTTTAAAAAAGATTGTCGTAAATTTTCAATAACGACAAAAATAATTTAAAAAATAAATAACAGTTTTTTAAAGTTTGAACTAATTTCACTAAAAGAGAACATTCGATTGCATTTGCCAGATATTGACAATATTTACCTTCATGGGTGCCATCCACATGGTTTTCAAGATGTGATGGACCTGGTGATGTCCGCGGTGTGTTGTGACCACTGTCCAGGCTTCTAGGTTTTGGTCCACTTATTTGCTCCAAGTTGTCACTCATATCCATGGGCACAGCTCTGATCACCTCATCAAGGTTTCTCTGCATTTCCTAAGAGTAAAAATTGATTTTTAACAAATCTGCTTTCACTTCCAATCAATTGTCAATTTTAATTCCTCACTTTTTTCCAAATTTGACAAGCTTTCTTTCTTTTTTTAAATATAAAATTTGAAAAAATCTTAAAAGGCAAATCAAATGTTAGAAGTTGGTATGTTTTTGTTTCTTTATGTTTGAAAATACATAATTGTTAAAAATCTATAATTATTTTTTTTTTAAATTTCAGAAATAATGTAGACGTTAACAATGCAAACATGTCTACTCACAAGGACTGTTTCTGACTGCTTCTGAAATGAAACAAAAATAAATGTTAACATTTCCATTCAAACATTACATTCAGAAAATGATGTAATATAAAGAAAATCCTTAACTAAGCTTAACTGTCAGAAGGCAATTCTTAACAAAGCTCCACTGTCTAAAACTAAGCTTATCAACTCACCAGTGGACTTGTTTGAAATGCTGGAGATCTCTCAGTCTTCATGCTGGTAGCCATGATGACACAATCTGGAGAATGATCCCGTTTCTCTTTCTTGACATCAACCATTGCTGAACCACCTCCACTGTGGATATTGGATAAGATTAATGAAGAAGAAAGTCCAATGTGTATTACAACTTCTATATTAAATAATTCATTACTGTCCTTAAAACTTTACCCCAACATTGAAGATTGTAACTATTTTATTTGGAGACTTTAAGAAGCAGTATGATGATATTTTTTTTCCGTATTTGACAAGCCAGTATGTATGCATGAGAATTATCTCATAATAATGCTATTGAAACTTGTCGAAGCCAAATAATTCAGTAAAATTGTGTTTTTCTTACCTATCAGGCCTGACAGAGCCGTCATACATTCCAGCACTGGCTGGTCTTGCTGGATCGGGGGTGCTGTGAGCAGAACGAGGTGTGCCACTAGCCTCTCCTCCCATGCGGTACTGAGGTGGACTGTGCATGGACTGTGATCCTAAGAGAAATAAAAATAATGTTCAAAACCTTTCTTTAAAAAAACAGACTTCTTTATAACAATACTGTCTGTCACAGAACGGTTGTTACCGAGGAGGGCTCCGGTCCTGACTTATCACAAACTATTGATTTAGAAGTGGTCAGTACAGGACCGCTCCTCTCTGTGATTTATATTTAAGTATCTAGGCATTGGGACAGACGAAGCACAACGTAGAAAAATTAAACAACTCAAACTCCAGGTGTCCAGATGATAAAAGAGAATGAGCTTTTCATATTTTAGTAGTAAATACTCTGTAGTCCTCACTGATTGTCAGCTATCTATATTTAATTATTATGAGAGAGGTTGCCTTCATCTATTATCCAAGGATATAATTATTATTTGAGCTTCCCAATGATGTGTTATGATTGTTCTATTATTCTACGGTGTTGGAGGAGCTATTATTTTATGTTCTAATATTTGATGTGATTCTGTGAGTAATTTAATAAAAATGAAGTGTGCAAAACAGGAGCTCAGTATTTAGAAAGCGGTGAGTCATGTGCATAATTTAACCAAGAGTAGCAAACAAGGGAACATCCATACAATTATGAAGACTGTTACACTGGTGTCAAAAGTGGTAGACAAATTCAATATATAAGAGCAGTTACAATGACATAACTTGTTAATGAGCAGTTACAATGACATAACTTGTTAATATCCCAGTTACGAAGACATAAATTGTTAATAAAGCAGTTACAATGACAAAACTTGTTAGATGAGCATTAAAAAACTGATGTAACTAATTAATTATGCAATTCTTAACTGAAAAATTTACTGGAGCCAACAAAAAAAAAGCCATGACTCTTCAAAATTACAACTCACACTCGGAAACTCAACAGTTATTCATACCGCAACCTTATTTGAAAGATTTGCTATAGACTAATTTCATAAAACAACAAAAAAAAACTATAGGATTTTCAAGACTATAAAAAAATCTTTGATGAATGAAAAAAAAAAAAAGAAATAGTCATTTCTTTGGATCAGTTAAAGTATTTTATTCTCATTATTGTGGGACAAAGTGCTTACTGTGGTCAATTTGTCCAGGAAAAGCAGGCTGTGTGGCTGGTCGGTGGTGTAATCTCATTGGCGTAAATGCTGGCCTTGCAGCCTGAAAATCACAAAATTTTATATATGCTTTCAAGTCCAAAATTAATTGTTAACACAAATTTCCTTTACTTCTAAATTTTTTATAAGCCCCTTAATTTCAAGAAGTGTGCTGATATTATTTGAAACAAGCACTAGAACTAAACAAAAGAAAATTAATTTTGTTATCTTTGATAGCTCTTATGAACATATTAAACAGACGGTGGGTTTTATAATTTTTTTTTTACCTGTTGCTGCTGATGTGGAGTCAAGAGTTGTCCTGCAACAAAGTGGCCTGGAAAAGTGGAAAGGCTCTGAGGAGCTGAAAATATTTATACATTAAATTTTTTTAAGAATAATCTATCTCTGGAGAACATTATCTAATTTTTTTTTTAAATATTGTACAGAGCCGGCAGCTAGTGTCAAACTACACATGCCACAGCCATACGTTAGTATTTATTTCTTTTCAAATAGATTCTCTTTTAATTGTCTATTGTTCAGCACCAATGTGATTTTTTTTGTGTTAATCTTAGACTGTAAGAGTTGTATAAAGGCACTTAATATAATTAAACTCAAAATTATCACACAACTTACTTTGCCATGAGTGACTCATGCTGCTACTCTGTGGTCTACGGTTGGCAGGCAGTGTGAGTTGGGGGGGCAAGGACCCCCCTCCACCTAGAGAGCTCATGGAAATGTTTGGAGGAGCTGGGGGCTTGGATGCCGACTGGATAAACTTAGACCAGTCTGCCGGTACTCTTTGTCCAGGTATGGGCTGAAAGAAAGTTTTAAAGACAGACTTTTCACGCTTGTCAATGTTGTAGACATAGCTTACCGTTTCCATAAACTAAATCAAGGCAGGGTTTATCTTTGAAAAGGATGTCAAGTTTAATTACCTGATTGGCCATGTGTTGTAGGTGTGGGCTGGTCGCACTCATCACACCAGAGCGGCTTTCTTGGTAGCCACCGCTGGGTCCCTGTCTGGCAGCCTGGCCTCCGTTCTTGTCTGGTGGGTAGCGGACACCGTTGACGAAAATGGCTCCAATTTTATTGAGGTTTCCCAGCAACCAGTTGACATCATGTTTGTACTGTATTAGCAAAGTGCCCTTTAGAGACTGGGGATCCACCTATTTGACAGGAATAATATATGATATGAAGAATGATATTTCTTTTAAAATAAGAGGCAATACTGAAATTTTTCTTACAAAATTATTTAAAGTTTGTACAAACAAACTGCAAACAAAATTTTGTTAATAAATAAGTTGGTATCAACTATTCTGGTCTCCTAATTCTTCATTAACAATGATAGAACTTCTCAAGTGCATTCCTTATCTACATGTTGTGGGCCATACCTGAGTATGATAAACTTTGCGACATTTAGTCTCAACATTTCCTTTGGAATAGAGCAGTGACATACTGGAACCTTCACTGAGGATGTCTTCCATAAACTGAATGCAATGGTCAAATTTTCCAACCAGGTCTGACACATCATCTATTTCTTTATTGAGACGTTTTGTTGCAGCGTCTGTGAAAGAGGCCAAGTTTGATAGGACGCCCCAGACAGCCTGCGAATCAATGAGCAAGTCACATAAAGGAACTATAAAAATGTATGTTTCCCTTTTCATATACTGTTTTAGTCTCAAGGTACATCCATGAGAATTTGTGGACAAAAAGTTTCTCCGTAAATCTTTATAAATATATTTAAACTTCAACTTCAAATAACTATTTGTCTCATTACGTTTTCTAGAAGGAATAAAATGTGGTTAAGCACACAAGAAATTACTAAAATGTAGATATTTACACACAAAAGTTTTATTTATTTATTTCCACTAGCAATCAACATAGCTCATCATAGATGACTGCTTAATTAGCCATGTATAATTGTAAATAGGGTAGTTTATAGTGTAAAAAAAAAAGAATGTCATGTGATGCCATGTTCATAAAGTAACGTGTTGCTTATCTCACCTGTCGAATACCCTTAACCAGGATATCAGCTTGCTTAAGAATCTCCTGTTGTAAATTGTCCTTCTGCTCCTTGCAGTTATTTAATTTCTGCTCAATCTCTTCTCTACTAGCGGCAAGTTTGGTTCTTTTTTCCCCCATCAGAGCCAGGCTCCCTTTCAATCTTGCCTTGTACTGCTCAGCAGCCTGATATTACATATACATAAGATTAAACAAATGCATGGACTTAAGCCACCAATCATGTAAATGAGATTTTAATAATTTTTAATTATCAAAAAGATATTTTTTTTTAAATAATAATAAACAAGATAATGTAGTTAATGTAGTAGTTTAAAACTTAAGAGAGAGACTTGAACTTTAGTCTGTAGAGAAGAAAATCTGCCAACAGATTTGCCACATAAATCTTTCTCACTCTAGTTGTTATGGGAAAGATTATGATCAAGATACGCACTCACAAATAAGACATGTATTATAACTTTAGTACATTATCCAAACCATCACAACCCCCACGGAAATTTTTTTTACTGAACACCAGACCTGTCTAATCAAACTAAAATTTATTTTTTTATTTTTTTTAACAGCTTGTTGCACCCTCATGACTGTAATAAAAATTAATTAAGCATCCAATTTTTACCCCAAAAAAGAAAAAAAAAGTTTGTTTTTTTAAAGTGAGTGCTTTCTAGTTCTTAAAAATTGCGCCCTTCAATTTAAATGTTAAAAGTGAGGATTTAGAAATTCTATCTGGTTCTTCTGGTTGTATAATTTTCTGTGATCGTTACTTGCATTAAAAAAATGTATAGTTTCAGGCTTGAACACCGCAGCTACTTAGTTAACAATAATAATTTGTGTTGTCTAAAACAATCATATAAAGCTGGGGGGGGTGGGGGGGTGTTTGTTGTTACAGTTCAATACATTTTTTAAAATGTTAAAACTTAAGTACGATTTAAATACTACTCTTGGGAAGGGGTGTTTAATAAGAACTATACAAGATTATGAGGAAGGTCTGCCTAAGGCTCTGTAAAGCAGTTGCAATGTTTCTTGACACACCTGTCAGCTAGCTTTAACTGGACTGTTCATTTTATTACATCCCTATTCACCTTAATGCTTTAATCTTCCTCATCCTGTTCTCTAAATCTCAATCAAATTTTAAACATGTCCATTTATTAACCTTCTAGTTGAGTTTAAGACCCAACAAGTGTACTTGGGTGATTTTTTACATCATTCAATAAAAGCTTTTACAGCCATTTTTGGTATATAACCATATCCCCAACATAATATATGTCTTCACAAAAATCTGAGTTCAGTAACCAAAACCTGTTGTCAAGGGCTTAAATTACCATTTTAGGTAAGTAAAGCAGGATAGTAGGGCAAAAACCTGAGGCTAACCTAAATAGAACCTGTCAAGTAGGCATTAATAAAAAAAATATATAAAAAATCATGGAACGCAATTTCAGCCCTTAAATGCAGTCAGAATGTAGCACATAATGGGTGGGATTATGATAATCTTGCATAGTGGTACCAGACAGGTTCTTGGGGCTATATAACTCTTTTACCCAAACAAAACAAAAATTAATGTTTGCATATCTACTGAATTCAACAATACTAGTTATAGCCCACCAAACAATGGCGGCTGCAATGTGTTAACTTCCCATAATTTTACTTGACAAAACATGCATTCAGTAAAAGCATTTTATAAGAATCCTAATCAGTGCTACACCCCCCTCTCCTCCACGTACGTCACTCACCTTTTTTCACGCCCCTGAATTATATTAATGTGCTAATGTCCCACCCGCTTTTACACCTAAGATTTATTACCATATTTAAATTAAGACTTTCAATTTCCGTAATACAAAAAATATTTTGCATTAATCAAACTAGGTGTATTTATAAGAGTTTCGTTTAGAAAGGTTATTGCGAATTTTATTTTGCACACTATTTGAACTCAACAATACACCATACTTGCTTTCATACCTAGAGAATTTTATGTATTGATTTACTTCAGCTTACAAAAATCTCTCATGGCCCTATTAAATTGTAGTGTGTATACTAGGGGTGTGCCGGATCCGTTTTTTCCAACCGGATCCGGATTTTCTTATGCGAAATCCGCCGGATCCGGATTCCGGTTTCTCCCGGATTCCGGATTTTGGTACTATTGGTAGATACTTCGGTAAGTCAAGGTGGACTACTACTTTTTGTGTATGGGAATTCGCAATCGGCGCCAAAAAATCCGAGTTTTTAATTTTCCGATGTGTGTGTCTATTTATTATTAAATTAGTACTTTCGATATATATTTGAGTTCCGTTCCATTTGGATAAGTGTCTTACGAGAGACGCCATGTTTCTACGCGTTCGCAGCAGGTTATGCAGCTCGCTCAACCTAATTTCGCCATGGGGTTGGCCACGCCCCCCTTTTTAATGGCGGAAGTTGACGATACTTAGGAAATATTAATTTATTATCACTATTTACATCAAAATAATTGATAACTTGTGTTTCAGAATGCATTTAAAGACATTTAAACTGGAATGTTTTAATTTGAGCTTTAACAACCCGGTAGAATCCATATTATAAATGATCAGAATTTACCGTGTGCAACACGTTGTCATTGGCAACCATTCACAGCCACTTGCATAACTGTATCGTAGTACTACCTCAGAGTTTCATTCATAAGAGTTTGCCGTGTGCAAAAACTATTAAACCATTGGTCAGGGAAAGCTTTAATTAATTATTCATGTGCCAAAGTTGAAAGTTTAAACTAAGTCTAAACAGTATTTTAGTGATAAGGCAGGGAATGCGTTGCCTTATATAAACTATATAGTCATTGCGCATGACGGGATTGGTGGAATGAGATCACAGAATGTGGAGATGCAGTCCATGTTAAAAAATGACAAACCAAGTCGTACTTTAAAAATTCATAACTTTAAAACTACAACAGCTAAAAATATGATTTTGGTGTTATAATTCTTTAAAAAATTACATCTTTTCAACTATGCCATTGGTTTATTTTTACAAAAAGTTTAAATTTTCTTATCAAAGTCCCTACACTATTGGCCACTATTAGCGGTGCTGACTCTAGCCTCTGGTATGTACGGAATATTAAACATTAAACAAGCTCAACGCTCGAAACAATCGATTAATGTATCGTGATCGTGTGAAATTCGGGAAAGAGAATTACTTTTATTTCAGATTATGATCCGGTGAGTCACAAAATCTGGCAAATTCCGAAATCCGGTATATTCCGGAATCCGGTTGTTCCGGATACATGTAAATCCGGCGGAACCGGATTTCACCGGATAGTGCAAAATCCGGCGGAACCGGATTCCGGACCGGGGTCCGGCACACCCCTAGTGTATACCCCCAATTCATAACTCCTGAATGTTTCCCCTTAAGTATATAAGCTTTGTATTAACTTACAAGTAGGAATAAAAAGGATTAATGATGACTGGCAAATCCCACCTAGCTGCACTCTTTCTGGGCATGTTTGAAATCCTATTAATAATATACCAATAAGCATTAATTTTTATGTTGTAGTACCTATAGCCTGTGTGTTGACTAGGGGTGTGCCGGATCCGTTTTTTCCAACCGGATCCGGATTTTCTTATGCGAAATCCGCCGGATCCGGATTTTGGTACTTTGCAGATACCGCTAAATCTGAGGGGTTGGATGCCTTCTGAACAGTTGGCACTATCATGTATGGGATTGGGCCGATTGGCCACTATTAGCGGTGCTGACTCTAGCCTCTGGTATGTTCGGAATATTAAACATTAAACAAGCTCAACGCTCGAAACAATCGATTAATGTATCGTGATCGTGTGGGAGATATAGCTGAAAGAAACCCTGGTAGTGATATCAAACTGTTGTATTAAAATCGTTGAAGGCATAGAGCTGATTTGCCAGTTATGAAAATATTTTGTAAATGTCGCTGACTGGATCTTATAAAATACCGGTATGCCAAAATCCAACGCTCCACTGCAGAACAGTTGGATCATCTATTTTATTTTAAAAACCATCTCTAGTTTTACAATCGCTGCGGTTCTGAGGAACAAAATAATTATGTACCAAAACTACGTCATGGTATGCCAAAATCCAACGCTCCACTGCAGAACAGTTGGATCATCTATTTTATTTTAAAAACCATCTCTAGTTTTACAATCGCTGCGGTTCTGAGGAACAAAATAATTATGTACCAAAACTACGTCACACGCTTGGTAGCAGTCAAAGGCGATGGCGGGTGAAGTTGTCGCTAGGGCGACAAGTGTCGCTAGGGCGACAAGTCTAAATATTACTGTTGACGCAGCCAGCTAGTTCACTGTGATCCCGTCAATACGATACGTCGGGGTTATTTATTTATATCCTTTGACACTCCCACCAATCCCCTACCCATGCGTGTCTCGTATGCCACAATTTCCGTCATCAACAACCCCACCTCCCCCAGTCCCCATGAGTGCTTTCGAAATATAATAAGGATGGTCCCAACTTTAAAAAAAAAAAAAATCCAACCAATCGTTTTTCTCGTTCATATTCACTGCCAGATCTTCATTAGAGAAGGCTAAAACGTCCAAACCCGAAAATGTATTAATTTTTTTAAATCGGGGGAAAATTTTTTCCACCGGGTCTCTGAAAATCGTAGTTTTGGAGGGTCTTGGCGTACAATCATAAAAGACATCTAAAAATCGTATATTGTACGCCAAAATCGTAAGAGTGAACAGGTCTGGATCCGGTGAGTCACAAAATCTGGCAAATTCCGAAAACCGGTATATTCCGGATTCCGGTTGTTCCGAATACATGTAAATCCGGCGGAACCGGATTTCACCGGATAGTGCAAAATCCGGCGGAAACGGATTCCGGCACACCCCTAGTGTTGACCTAGGTTTTGTTACCATGATCTAAGGTATGCAACCTTACCTCCACCTTTTGTTTTGATGTTGACATCACTGATTAATTGTGTAGCACTCTACCACTACCAAACCCCTCTCTTGATTGGGAAAAGGGTGCTTACTTTTGAATATGTTCTAAATGGAGGTAGAGAATATTCTCGGGTGAAAGAATTATGTAAAACCGATCATAAAGTTATACTTTATATATATATGACATAACTTTTGTTTTTTTTAAAGTTACCTGATCAAGAAATTGATATTTGTGCTCTTTGTGATCCATCAGTTGGCAATCACGGCAAGTTAATTTTTCACATTTTTCACAGAAAAACTTGAGCTGTTCTTGCTTGTGTTGTTTACATGTCATCAACTGTTCCCATGGCGACTTGTTGGTAACGACCTTCACCTTGAGAGAAATTGAGAATATTTTAAATCTTTTAACTTTATTTACTTTCAGTTATATCTGATTTATATTTTACATGAAGATTTATTAACGTTTTTGGGAAAAATTCATTCATCAGTTTAAGAAATCAGATTTAAAACCAATAATCATTTTATTGGCTTTACTTGAAACATATCAGGTAGGTACATTACAGATCGGGGAGGCAGTAAAGTTTATTAGATATTAGCTTTGGCACAGGTAACTTCATATTTTTAATTTAAAGTTGTTGTTTTTTAATTTGTCATAATTAGTTGCATAGATTTTGCACTCCACACTAAGATTTCAAAATCGGCAGCAAATATTGGTCAAATTTACACCAATAGACTTAATATGGTTATGCTGTCTTTGAGCTTGTTTTTTTTACTTGTCCATGAGAATTGGAGTCCTATGAAACAACTTTTAAAGTGACCAAACCTATTTTGGTTTTCATTCAAACCTATTTTTGGTTTTAATTCAGTTTGCATTTTCACTTCAAAATGATGAAATGTGTTAAATTTTTATAGTTCTTATGTAAAAATTAGATCTAACACTATTCATAACCTATAATCAGAACTATATAAATGCCCAAAAATAAAAAAGACATCTTAACGTTTCAGTTTGCAAAAACTGAGCTGCGTCCATCTCATCCATTTATTAACAACGGTTTTAACTGCTGGCTTGTTATAAAACAAAAATGATTACCGGACGTTTGAGACTAATAGCTGGTTAAACAACACCATCACTCAAGATGTCAAAGACTTAAAATTTAATTTATAGGCAGAGCAGCTAAGATCAAACAGCTGTCTCCATTATACAATCATCGTGTCATTTCAGAGCAATCATTCCAATGATGAAGAGGCAATAAAGCCTGGCAGCATAATAATATGCAGTAATCTGTCACAAAGTATTTCTCAATGTTGCATTTAAGGGTATAGAAGTAGTCATTAAAAAAAAAAAATCAATATTTATGATACCAGTTTTCTCCCCATCTAGAAAAATCAATATTCATCTGCTGGTTACTGTTAGCCCTGGTATTACTAGGTCTTAGCAAAGTACTTAGCAAAGTACTGAAGAGAAAAATAAATTACAATTTTCCAGAGGTGAATCCCTCTCAATACTTAGTTTACCGTACAATTTGCAGCTGCTAAAAAAAAATTATGAGGGTTTTTAATTGCAAGATATAATTTAAAATTTTTAAAATCCTGTCCTTATATTAAAATAAAGTTTAGTTTATAATTTTTAAAATAAATTGTGCATATTAAATGATTGCTCTGATCAAAACAAGTACTTCCTAACAACAAAATCAAAGTAGGGCTATAGGCCATCCATATATGATGTCATGCAACAGGACAGGAGTGGGGTGGGGGGATGTTGACACAAATTTATGAATTTTTTTTTAATACTTGGGAGTCACATTTTTAAATTACATTTCTACCCCAACCATACCAAACTAAAATCATCCTATTTATAACTGTACCTACTATCGCCTAAGACAAACAATCCCTTTCACTTCATAGATATCTGTAGAGTGATTTATTGTTTATAATATCATATATCTATATGACACCACCTGTCATAATATCAAAAACTTGTCCACCATCTGCAAATTCTTAAACTCAAGTCAACTCCCCCGCCCCCCCCCCCCTTTACATTCATCTAGTGACCAGTACCATCTAAGAATTGCCATGCCTCTCCAAACTAGGCTTGTGACTGAATCAGACATTTGATACCATCTTACCCCAAGCACTTCTTATCCTATAATTTAACCCCCCCCCCCCCCCCCTTTTTTTTATTTTGTGCGTGAGGAAGGTTAAAGACATGTATTTTGATGGATTAATTAACTTAAATTTCAAAATATATGAAGTGATTTGTGCACTATCTTTCCAGGGGGTTAATACTCCTATTTGCAACTCAATGTGGATTAGAAAGCCTATCTATAAATATACCCCCCCCTGGAGAAATGTACCCCACCCAGAATAAATAATTTTACCTCTTTGACCCATATGGCATAGATATTAAATATTTGGCTTTTCACCTAACATAAAAATGAAAAGGGGACACCACTATAAATATTGTATGTTAAGGGGGGATGGGGCTGGTGAGGTTTATTAGTAAGAGAGAGAGAGACAAAGCAAATCTTGTAATTTAGGTATAAATATGACATGATCTTCATTAATAGATACAAATAAGACAAACCTATAGTTCAAATATATAATTAGGCAAGATTATCTTTTTTTTTATACCAAAGTCAGATTACCAATGCAAAACTTGAGTGCCTTTCACCCCCAGAAGAAAATGGGGTCAAGTCAATGATTAAGTTGCCCCCTTTTCAACTATTGGCTCTAAAGCAGCCTCCATGACATTGGTGTATCATTGAAGTAATGCTGAGCCAAGAGTTGCTTCATGGAAATCCCCACACTGCACTTTCCTAACCTAGTCACTGCCAATGGATCAGGTTCACTGACCTTGTCCTTGTAGGGGTTACAGACAAAGATGAAAGGAAGTTAGCAGGCTGGGGTGAAACCACCTGTTCATCCTTTTAGATACAACTACCAAACTTGCTCTCTCTTTATTTTTTCATTTTTGATACTGTTTAAACTGCATTCCATTATATTAGTAATACAACCTTTTAAATTAACATTGAATCATTTTAAGAATTTATTTAGTGTCTCAATACACCACTGACGTATGCTGGTAATTTTGACTGCAGTAACCTTGAAAGTTAAGGAACAAATCATCCTACTGAAATGAATTAATTCTCTTATTTAACTTTGTGATGAATAAGAGGGGAAAAAATATATTTTCCTCAGATTTTCTTTTGAGAAAGACATTTCAACCTGCAATTCCAGAATTCAACAAAGCCAGAATTTGTTTCCCCCTTTAGAAGAGCTCAATGTTAGGGGACTGTTCAAACCAACTATCAGCAAATTTAAACAGCTCAATATTATATATCTTAGTTCTTTGCAAGTTATTTTGCTTTGAGGAATAGTTTGAAGTGGACCTAAAATTATTAGGTGCAAAACCATAGCAAGTTCTGTAAGTGTATTTCTTTAAAGGACCTGAGATCCCTTTTTTTTTAATTGTTTCTATTACTTAAATGCAGCAAGTACTATGAGCTGCATCAAAATAAGGTAAATGGTGACTTTTAATGAATGTGTTACTTCTTCTAGTATGTATACCTGGTGTGAGCGACATAGGGATCATGTTCCTTTTTGGTGTCTGAGGTTTTACTATTTACAATATGAAATAAAATAAATCAGTGAGGTGCACCCATAAAATGTTGCACACCATCTGGCCATGCCTTGAGTGATTATAAGAAAGCATTTGTTTCAGAATCTAAGGACCCTCTTGAAAAAAGGTTCTTAAAATGTTTGCAACAAGTCTTTCCATAAGTGTTGATAAAATGTACAAACTTGAAAAAGTTGAATAAACTATCATATCCAAGTCCAAGTAGTAATAATACTGGCGTTGAAAGAAAATATCAGCTTTATAGCTGTCAGAAGCTGATGATAATCACAAAGTATGTGGAACGCTTCAGAACCAATGCACACTTAACAGCTTATGCGCCACAGGCATGTACAATGTACTGTTAGAAATGTTTGAATATCGCAAGGAAAGTACAGAACCCAAATGTCTTACCTCATCTTTAGGTGATATTGTATGGTCTTTAGTGATCCGCACACGCTTGTGGGCATCCACACAGCTGTCACAAAGCCATTCCTCACACTGCAAACAGTATGAGCCTGCTTCTTCCCCCTCGTCACAAGCTGTACACATATGTTTGCTATTGTTCTGCTGAGGCATTGTCTGGTCAGGATCCAAAGCAGCAAACATATTATCCATCAGGCTTGTACCTGGCTGCTCTATAGGATCCCGACACACTGGGCACTCTGTTCAAATTGAGTATGGTATGGTGAGACATTATAAAATTGAATATGATGAGGTGAGACATTATAGATTTCTTTAGTCAACAGAAATTGTCTTAAAAAGAGTACTCAATCTAAGCTGCAGCGTGAGTCAAAATAACTTGAATTTTTAAAATCATGTCTCAATTATAAAATAGTAAACCCACCACTCTGTAAATTAATCTTTGTACAAACAATGCTGACTAATCTTATGCTTTCCATGCCCTGCATTATACAGATTCTTTTGCATTTACAGTTTCTTTTAACGCAATGCATACCTCTGACACACATGGCTGGTTACACTTTTAAAGTGACTACAGTAACTAAACAATGAAGAGCCTAGAAGATTCACTTTTTTTAAAGATTGCAAAATATTGCATTTACTGTTGCACAAATAACTTTTAAAGTAGTCTTATAAGTCTTTATACTTAGACATATAAGATACATAAATGGCATCTCCCAAAATAAATTTTGACATAAAAATTTTGTTACCACTGTATCAATGATACATAATTGCTATTAACTCACTTCCCTACCTCTTAACAATTTTGCATATAATTGTTTAGGTTTCTTAGGGTCAGGGAAAAAAAAATTTAAAATTCAAAATGTTGCTGATTTTAACATTCTAAAAAAAAAAAAGAAAATTATATATATAGCACAGTGTCTTCACTAATATCTGATATTGATATTGCTTCATAACACAAAAGTAAATAAACATTTTTAATAGTCATTTTAAAATAAATCTGCAGCAAAATTTTTTTTAAATATTTTACCTTTCAAGGTTTAAATTCTCAGTTACTAAAATTAAAATGCTTTGGCATTTTTATTTCACTGCTTTAGCCCTTTATGGTTTATAGTAAAAAATTATTATAAGTATTTATTTCTTCTAAATTTCCAACAAAATTTTTTTAGACCCCCTAAAATTTAAAATGCTTATGGCTCATAGCAAACTGACAAAGCCAACAATATAGTCAAACTGCAAAAAAAAAAAAAAAAAAAAAAAAGAAAAAAAAAAAAAAAAAAAAAAAAAAAAAAAAAAGTTAATGTTTACAAACTGTCATATGCCCTTGTACAAGGTAACTATTGGGATTTTCCAGGCCCAACCTAATATCTCTTTTGTTGGAATTTAAAAGGAGCATCGTTTTTATGGGCTACTGCTTGACATGTTTTTAAAAAGAGACTTGTATTAATAGTATTAAGGCTTTATGTTTCAAAAATATTAAACTGCAGATGTTATAACATTTTATTACTATGACAATTTTTTTTCTTCTAAAATTTTAGTTTAAAAACTAAGCAAGGTTTTGTGAACTTGGAAAATAAAGATCCCAGCTGTGACCCAGTTAGGAGCCCCTGCCTATTTAAATAACAATGGACTCAGTTTTGTATAAGCTATACAAGAGATGAATGAAAGCTGCTATTAAGAAAAGAGAGATTTTATTTAAGTTTATAATGGGAGAAAAATCTCGAACTAAAGTATTTATACAGTTTATGATAAACTATTGATTAGAAAGCCCAACTATAAATATCCCCCCCCCCCCCTTAAGAAAAAAGAGATTTTATTTAAGTTTATAATGGGAGAAAAAATTCGAACTAAAGTATTTATACAGTTTATGGTAAACTATTGATTAGAAAGCCCAACTATAAATAAGCCCCCCCCCCCCACTTTGGTTTTGTTACACTTAGAAATAGTTAGGACCTTATAACATGTAGGCCTTGAGGACACCCTGCATTAGATTGACAATTGGCCCCAACATCTTTACTATTCTTACTTATTTATTAAGTATGCTCAACAAGAGCTTTTATATATATAAAATATATATATTGAGCTGGGTTGGGTTTTTTTCCTTATCTTATACTTTTATTTAGAAAGGTCTGAGTGTGGCTGAATGGAAAATTTTTGGAGCCAATGAACATATCTGCAACCTGATTACAATTTTATTTCCATTATAATTGTCAGTATTCAAAAACATAAATATACAATTAACATTTGGGAAACTATTCATTTTGAATCAATATGATACGCTTACCAAAAAAAAACAGTTAAATGTAAATTTGGCCTTAAACTAAAAGGCATTCAACCGAATCAGGGCAGGTTTTTATACTCAAGCTCGTAACTTACAGAACCAAATTGGAAATTACTTCTGAAAATACTTTTTGACCAAATCTTAAGTATAAAAACTATAACTTGTCTTCATTTTCACCTACTGTTATTATTACAACACCTTAATATTCATAATTTTTTCATACTTAACCAAACTTTCACTTTCACCTGAGTAAATTAGTTATATTAATGGTTAATTTTTGTGTCAACTGCCCTGGCATCAATACAAACAAACTTTTAATTTAAATCATCTGTTCGATTTTAAAATCCTAAAACTAAATTATTAAATGTTTAACTTTAACAACAAGCTAAGACTAAAATCTAATGACTTGGACTTGGGAACATAATTTAGACGGTAGATGGATAATATAAAATCCATAGGCCTAACAATTTAACTTTAAAAGTTTGTTCAATCTGCATAGATTTCATGTGCCTGTATTGTATAGACTGTGTAAAACTAGAAGTTAAGTGAATTTAATTAAACTTTTTTCAAACTTAATTCATGATCATGAAAATAAATGAAATGGCATGCAAACATGCTTTAAACAAATCCAAGGCAAAGTAAAGGCTAAAGCAGTAAAGGCAAAGCATTTATTACATTTGCAGAACTGCCAATGCATAATATCAGTTTACTTAGGCTTAAACACTTAAGGCATTTAGGCAGCCATTATCAATCTAGGCGTAGACTTAAAGGCTAATTTTAATAATAAATACATGGCACACCTCACACCTAAATAAGCATTTACAACAAAGTTGATGGCACAAGAGATAAAAATTAGAGTAGTTTATCATTATCTTTGCTTAGTGGAAATATTGTGTATATACCTGTGACTGGCTTTGGTTTAATATCCACAGAATCCGGGTCTCCATAACTTTTGTCTTTCAACTCTTTGTCAATATTTTTTTGTCTCTCCGCCTCCTTTTCACTTGAAATATTTTCTACTAAAGATACCGATGGACCAGCTTCAGTTATGTTATGTATACTTTCATTTATCTGAGACTGTGTTTTTGGAGATTTCTCTAAACCATTAATAATATTACTGTTCGCGTGATTGGAGTCCTCCCTTTCGGTTTCAATATTCGGACCTTGTTCATTAGGCCTACCATCACTTTTTTTCAACTCATCACCGGCCTCTTTAACTACTATCACACCATTGACACCATTATTATCATCTGTCTTTGATTCGTCTGTATGATTTTCAATATCGTCTAATTCATCTAAATGATTTTTATCCAAATCAGTCAAGTTTTTGTCCGCCTCTTTACACAAATTTGCCTGGTTCTCCTCTTGACCCGCCTTTTCCGACACTGGCGATAGTTCGCGAACCGCAGTTCGTCCATACAAGCAATCTAAACACATCGAATGAAGACATGGCAAAAGTTTCAACGGCTTCTCCGTCGATGTAAATTTAGATCCACACTTAACACACTGGTTTATCATGCTATTTAAGTTCCACATAATGCCTCACATGTAGTATACAGCTTATAAACCTCCGATGACTAGTTAATTGACTAGACTTTAGTCCCACCATGCGAATGCACTAAAATTAATTTCCGTCCTACTTTCGATCTGTAAGAATTATACCGCTGCTTCTGATTGGTTGGTTTTATATCTCTCTTTACTTTACCAGTTAGTTGGTGCCAGGTATATCCTAATGTAAGGGAAATCTAAACCAGTACGTCTGCGAAATATGGAAAATGTCTGAAGAACTTTTTTTAAAATCCTAAATATTCTCTAAGAAGAGAGAATACGGGGGGGAAAAACTATGACTATGAAGGTAACCTGTGCTTCAAGAGATGAGAGCTGCGCGCGGGCGCGACCCAAACCGGCGAATAATAAAACGTTGATTGATCTCACTGAATACTTGAAGCTGTCAAGTTGGTGAGAACCAGTTCTGGGCGGTTGAAACTGGTTGGAAGCAGTATTGGTGAAGTTTTCCACTTTATCTAGCTGAAACTACCTTGACCGCTGCAAAGAAAATTTAGGCTCGGCTGGCGGGCGGCAAGCTTGGCGCAAATCCAATTATTTTCCCAGGCCTACGTGCGAGAGTGGTGTTATGTATGGGTTCTATAGTCATCAGGCTGGGTTTGCTGGCGAACATCCAATTTTGCCTTGTTACTTTAAGGCCGTGCTTACGCGATAATGATTGATAGATAACCGTGATAAACTTATACGGTATAATTTGGTTGGAAGTAAGCATTTAGATAACAAATCTCATGACTAGATAAGTCAAGAGGCTACTTTTAGTATTATCATGATTAGAGAGTGTTTTTAAGGAATGATCAAGTCACACCGAATATTCAACCATTTAGTCAAGTGGCGCATTTGCTGAATTGTGGTATTAGTACTTTTTTTTTTTTTTTTTTTCAAAATGACTTGGTCTTGGAAGATATATTTGCTGCACAACGACCTGGCTAGGAAAGAAAATTACTAAATGATCGACAGGTTCATGTAGGTGAAGTCCATCTAAAATCAGAATACCATAGTAATTTCAGTAAAAGTAAGTTTTAATCATTATTGAAACTAGGCCATTACTTCAGAAAGACAAAGCTAAACAAGGTATTGAACGTGTTTCTACGCCACATTGCACCACATGGAAACCAAATACCGTATCGCAAACATGACTACCCATTAGTGTCATAAATGTCACAATTCGTGCTCGCATCTAGTGTAGGTCGTTTCTCTAGTGGAAGATGACTAACCAGAATGTGAATGTTGTGTGAAGTAAAGGATTCGAACGAAAAAGAGCAACGATTACTCATCTTATTGCAGACGTTAATTTATATGAACAAGAAATATAGACATATTAGGCCTACTATACATATAAATATTTTTTTTTACGCAGCCAATCTGAAGGAAAACAAATTTTGCACTAAGTTCACTAAGTAACACGTATTGCTCTTGTACTTTATCAGAATCAGCCTAAATTTCGAATTCGATTGAGCGCACCAGGTGCGTAAAACTTTTTTTGGAAAAAAAAAAAAGAGAAAAACTAATTATTTGTTTTTAATAGACACAATGAATGCTCTTATAGTTTGTTAAGTAGAATCAATATATCGTTAATTTTCATCCAGCAATCACCATACAATTCCTTTTTATGTGAAATATAAATGTTTTAGCTAAACCCCAAAAATGTTTAATGTGTGCCGGCCTGTTCCTCTTTAATCCACGGGATAGTTACACCACAGTTCGCATACGATTCCCTTCCCTAAGCTACTGTGTAAGACTACCCACCGTTCCTTCATTGTCAGTGCAATGTACGAATCTAAGTTCTCCATTACATCGACTCGATGCTCTTCCATTTCACCTTTCTCAAAAGTACAGACAGGGGCAAATAAATCACTTTGATGGATCATGACTTAAGAGAAATGGTCATGAATTGTGACTAATGTTTTGCTTTTTTTTTTTCCTTGAGGGCAACATAGTAGTAGACATATTTTAATATTATGCTGTCGCTCCTGCTCGACTTTTTAGAATTAGAAGCTTGCAATGTGGTACATTTTTCATGATGCCTCTTTTCACCATAATTCCAAATAGCTAAAATTGACCTTTATAATATATTAGATGTAATTTCTATGAGAAATGAAGCAAATTTTGCGTCTTGAGGCTTTGTAAGTGGTGGAAACCCCCACCCCCACTTAAACAAATTATTAGGTGGTAAGATTCAGAATGTGACCGTTCTTATTACGGTACGTCACCTTTTTCAGTGAATTTCAGACTTTCATGATTTTGGGGGGAAAAAAGCTAGGGGACAACAAGAACACACAAAACAACAACAAAAAAAGTGGGGCGAGGTGAATAGTATAGGGGTCTCTTTCTGGAACCACTATTCCGACTTTTAAAGAAGCTAAGACATTCAACAGTGGGGAAGCAATTGTGAATGCCACAAATACATTATTGAGTTACCGGTATTGACTTATAGGTGAAAAATGAAGACCAATTGAGAACACATTTTTGATGATGCCACAATCTTTAACTAGAGGCAGACAAAAGAGATGAGACTCAGACCTTTTTTAGAAATTATGGCTTAGTTCGGTTAGTTGAAACAACTTAAGTTCGGTTCGTGAAAACAACTAAATTCGGGTTCCGTTCGTTAAAACAACTTAAGTTCGCGTTCTGTTCAGTTCGTTAAAACAACTTAAGTTCGCGTTCTGTTCAGTTCGTTAAAACAACTTAAGTTCGCGTTCTGTTCAGTTCGTGAAAACAACTTGGGTTCGGTTCATGAAAACAACTTAAGTTAAGTTCGTGTTCGGTTCGTTTCGTTAAAAAACAACTTAAGTTCGGGTTTGGTACGGTAACAGTAACAGCTTGAATTCGGGTTCGGTAATGGCTAGGGATATAATACCGTTTTTTGTTTTTATTTTTTTTTTTTTTTTGTTTTTGTTTTTTTTTTTTGGTTGTTTTTTTGTGTTTTTTTTTTTTTACGAAACTGTTTTTTTTTTTTTTTTTTTTTTTTTTTTTTTTTTTTTTTTTTTTTTTTTTTTTGGTTGTTTTTTTGTTTTTTTTTTTTTTTACGAATCTGTAGAATATCATGCGGAGGCTTACTGTCCCCTCTCCACCCACGCACATCTCTCATCATCATCTAGGTGTTATCGGCTGTAACAAAAATTCTTTAAATAGATCCATATAATTGTGTTTGTTTTTGAACGATACATGAGATGACACAATGTCTGCTACATGGTATTATTGTTTAATTTGTCCCGCCTTAATATTAATACACATCAAGCCTTTGTGGGGAACGTGTGTTTCCGGAGGATAGGTGGGTAGGTGATGTAAAAAACAACAACTAATTTTGGTTTATAAAAAAAAAAATATATTTTGTGATGATGTAAAAAACAACAACTAATTTTGGTTTATAAAAAAATATATATATATTTTGTGATTGTTTTTCTAGTCTAGTTACTTAAAATGTAAGCATTTCTGGACGGTTCCCACTCGGTGACGTTAAGCTCGGGTTAGGTTGTCGGCAGGATTCGAGTTCGGTGAATTCGGGTTTTGGTTCGATTCCCATCTCTCGTAGACGTATCTGTTTGTGAGCAGAAAGTGGCTTTTGTGTGTTTGTGTGTGTGTGTGTGTGTGAGTCAGCTTATAGTAAACACTTGAAATGTGTATGATTGATTGGTCATATGATTATGCAAACATTGAATTGTGAGTATTCTTGTTATTATTATTGTATGGTTGATTGCTGTTGGTCATATGATTATGCAAACATTGAATTGTGAGTAATTCTTGTTATTTGATGCGAACACTTGTATTGTGAAAGATTGATTGCTCAGAAATAGATCTACGCGGAGGGAGTGATTGAAAACCCCACTATAAAAACCCTAGTTAAGAGGCAAAAATACAAGTTACCTAACGTTAGAAATGTATTAGTATTAATTCCGTTCACTGACCAAGGACGGACACACACGTTTTTTTTTGTTGTTTTTTTTTAACAATCTGGGTGAAACATTCATACGAGGGGAAAAAAGCGAAAGGTTAAAACAACGTTTAGACATTAATTCTTGGAATTAAATGCACGACATTTGTTAATAGTCTCGATTCAATTTTGTATTAATTGTTATTGTTATTTACGTAAGCTTCCATAGTTCTCAAAAAAAATGATTGCGGAAGACACAAACATTTACTTATTTGTCGTATCAGAAGACTCCCAGGTGTTTCTGAACGATCCAATTAGGTGCAAGTTTATTTAATGAGCTTACTATAATGAATGTAACATGTAGTACTCCACACACTCACATCGAGTCATTAGTGTGGGTTGACATGTAATTTAATTAAATTATATTCACTTAAATATCAGTATATAAATACCAATTTATAAAATTGTATTGCGGTAGTTTTTCTCTTTTGGTTTTCTTAGAAATTCAATGGTTATTAACTTAACGCTTCGAACGGTATTTCAATCGTTTATATTCACGTTGATAAACCAATAAGCTTTATTTTCAACATATATACCACAATTCTTTATTTTCAAGATAGATATACCACAATTTTCTATTTTCAATATAGATATACCCAAATAATTTATTTTCAAGTATGTTATACCAATATATTTTATTTTAGGTTATGCCAAAATAGATATAACGTAGCACTATACTTTAATTTCAAGCGTTAATTTCATTTCTCATTTCGTTCTTGGACAGTAAACCCTAATTATGAGCTACATTTATTTTATTTTTGTATATTACATTTCATAATTTGTTGTTCGCAAAGAAGGCTTTTGGCCGACACGCTCGCTTAGAACCTAGAGGATTTTTTTCTTCTTATTTATTCCACTTACCGTGTGCTCTTTGTTTTACTTATGATTGTAGTCCCCCTAGTATTCCCAGACATGCCAGTATTTTTAAGTTCAAGTTAGATTAAAAATTTGTTTTAACTTTGACATAAATGTTTCTTATTTCTTTGTTTTATTTTCAAATTATAATTACTGGGCAACAATATCACTTATACCAATATATGCATTTGGGTTGGTTTTTTTTCCGTTTTTTTTTTTTTTGGTTTTTTTTTTTTGGAAAAATTATAATGTTTTTAACTAGTTTTTAATTAATTTATTTAACTTTTGTTTCGTTTTGTTGTTTTCGAAAAATTTAAGTAAAAATTTTTTTTTTTTTTTTTTTGTTTTTTTTTTTTTTTTTTTTTTTTTTTTTTTTTTGTTTTTGTTTTTTTTTTGTTTTTTTTTTTTTGTTTTTTTTTTTTTTGGAAAAATTATAATGTATTTAACTAGTATTTAACTAATGTATTTAACTGTCGTTTCGTGTTGTTGTCTTCGAACAAGTTAAGTAAAAATGTAAAATTTATTTTCCATGAAAAATAAGGCAAT